ACAATAATATTATTAAAAATATAATATTGTAGGTATGTTGATAATAAAAAAATTTAAAAAAAAAATAGCTTGAAATTTATATTAATTGCACTCTGAATATTTATTTGTCTGAAAAAAAAATCAGTTTACGTTATCAAAATAAACCAGTGTGCATTTAATAACACAGTATATAATGTTAAATTATTATTAATAATGGATGACTCCAATATTTAATTTGCATAAATAATACACAATTTATTATAGAGTTCATTTTATAATACATGTAACACCTGTCAAATAGATAASAGTACACTACTTATTTTCAAGTGCGTGGGTACTGGGTAATATAAACCATTGACCTAGTCGTTAGTAATATTAATTATTATAAGTATCATATTCATTAATAAACCTTTTATACAAAAAATGATTTATAAAATCAACATAAGCTAAACAAAATTTTGAATTACCATACGCGTATTATATTAAAGAAATAAAATTAGAGAAAATTATTGTATGATATTAGTAAATTTTAACAACAATATTTGTACTCAACTCATTTGAATATCAAAATGTTGCCCTCAAAAATGTTCTACGCCATAGTAATTTTTGTAGTTAATTTATTTATATCAACTTGTTGTTTGCATGTATTATGTAATATGTATTATAATATTTATTATTAAATTCACAGTTATTGCCAATCTGGAAAAGTGCTCAAAGCATTGAATACTGTACTGTAAATAACCATTTATTTTGGTCAACAATACTCTAATGAAATGTCACCAAGTGTGTTTGAACCCTGGACAGTGGATATATCGTATATTTCAGTATTCAAATTATTTAATTAATTTTCTGATAACGATTTTGTGGTTTGCTGAAAAGGGATTTGATGTTGAGCGGATGCTGAATACTCACAGTTAACGTTTAACGTGATCCTCTTGCTAACAGCCGGTGGTACATCGTTGGACGCTATGCACAAATAATGTCCCATCTGACTGCGGTCTACTTTGTTGAGCAACAGCGGTTCTCCTCGTACCCTATCCACTGGTCAACAAATAATAAGCACCACGTGAAATCAATATACTAAAGCTAGGTATTTAGAATAATAATTATAACACTAATAGACCAATATATACCAAAATCACTTTAAACTATTGGAACAACTATTAATCGTTAGCCGTTACTAAATAAATTATTATCTTATACATTTAATATACGAGTAATATCACCTATGTCTATGTGCATCACGGATTCATGAATAACAAAAATAATTCGTGTCAAGAATTAATCAAAACAACTCATAATTATGAAAACATAACTAAACATAATTAACTACATTCGTTTTGGTACATGTATTTCGAGTAATTTAGTTATAATATGAGGTGTACATGATCTATTCGTTCTAATAAATTATCATTGAATATAAGAATTTAAATTTTGTATTAGCTAGGGTTTCAATCTTACGTATTTGAACACATATGTTTTATACAGCTATAAAACAATTCACATTTACTAAATAATCTTTATTGAAAATATTAAAAATAATAACAATGACGTTCATTC